GGGCTCTGTCTCACAACCCTGGGATCACCACCTGAGCCAAAACCAAGAGTTGGACACTTAATCTGTTGTGCCACTCAGGTGCCCCAGTCTTTTAAACGTAGTATACAAACCCTACTTTTGGTCATGTAAGGAGGAAAAACAAAAGAATAGATCACAACTTGTAGAGTTGACCTTACTTGAATCTGTCCATTTTACTCATACATTGTATGTCTTTTTAAAATAACTGTGTTCTGACATAATATAATAAAATGACCTTATTAATCTGGTAAGACAGTGGTTAGTGATCAAAGGATATTGAGATATTGTAAAAGTTTGTGGTTTTTTTTAAAGAATAACATTATATAATACAGGATATTTGTTAATTCCAGTACGTACAATGTTTCTGAATGTTAAGGCTTTTTTTTTTTTTAATTGTTTTGGGTTTTTTGTTTGTTTGTTTTGTTTTGTTTTTCCAAAGCATTTAGGCCATGTTGAGGACTTTGTTTTTGTTTTATTCTGTTAAGTCCAAGCATGATCTGGTCCCCGCTTCCCTTTACAGACTCTGTTACCTCAAGCCATTTCCTTCTCATTCATTTTTGTAAAGCTGCTTTTGGCCTTTTCTTCAGTACTGAGAAAACTGTTTCCGACTCTTCTGTGGCCTGGAACATTTTTACACCCCCTGCCCAGTCTGTCTAATATTACACCCATCTTTTTTATCTCAGCCTAAGTAGCACTTCCGTAGAGAAGCTGACCTTTACCACACAATCTGAAATAATGTCCCTACTTCTCTTTCTCAGCATACTCTACTTCATAATTTGTAACAAATTATGTAATTTATAATTTTGTATATGTAATAATCATTCTCCCAACTCAGGTTGAAAAAGCTTCCTGAGAATAGGGACTGTTTTATTTACAGCTGTTTACTTAGCATTTCATGATGTTGTTACGCTAGATCTAGAATTTTTTAATATAAAATTAGTATTCTCCATTCCATAGTGACTCTCTCACTTTCTAACTCCAGTTTCTTTAATAGTAGTCAGTGAGGTGTGGGTTAACCTACAATCTCTTATCTGCAATTCCAAATTTAAAAACCTATAGAAAATAGGGTTTGTCAAATCAAAAAATATATGAAAACATGAGAGTTATGTGCTTTATCCCACTTGGTACTTATAAGCTTACATTATTTTCACAGCATAATATGTCCCAGATTCTCCATAATAGGAGAATGCAATATATGCACTGTTACCTTTCCAAAATTTGGAAACTTTTGAAACAGGAAGATACTGGATTGAGGGGTTGTACTAGCCTAACTTTACCTCTATCTGTGTGACTTTAGGCAGATCATTTAACTGTGCTAGTAAGATTGAGCTAGATTTACAACTCAGGTACTTCCAACTCTAGAATTCTTAGATTTCACATCCCCATTATAAATCACATAAACTATTATGATGGTTGGTTTTGATCAATAAATAGATGATAGAATACTGCAGCTTTTAGAATTTATTTTGTGGTGCAAGCTATTATAAATGAAAAGAAATTACAATGCTGAGTTTATGTATGTACAAGTTATCAAGTTTTAATTTCTTGTATTTTTAGTGCTTATGGATGCCCTATACATTTTTCATAGTATTAAGCCTTCTTAAACTTTGGTAGCTAATTTATATATTTCACTGTAAATTAGGAACTATTAGAGGATAGTGATGATGCTTTTCTAATTTGGTGGTTCTTGACTATTTTTGGAATATATTCATTATTTGTGGATGACTTTTAGTAAGTGATATGAAAATAAGCATAACTCTTGAATATCTGGACTTCCTTTTTAATGGGTTTAAATAGGAAGTATAAAATGTTTTGGTAAGCAGTTCTTTATAAAGTAGCATAAAAAATTCTTTATAAAGTAGTATATCTGCAAAGTACATTTTATATTCTTTCCTTTGGTTCTTGGATTGTCTTAATGAATATATATGGTGGTACAAATACTCCAGTTTTACAGAGGAAAAGACTGAAAGCTCTAAGAAGTTTTCAGTTTGACACAGTCACAGTTCATGAGATACAGAGTGATTTCAAGTCCACTATTTACTTGTATATTTTATTGTCTTTTAAATATATGAATTTTATAAAATGCTGTATTACCATAAAGAATATAAAATACCTAAATTTTCTAATCTTTAATATCGAGTGTGTACATTTTATGTCAACTTCGTTTTCTCTTAAAATGGAAGATGACCTTGGTGATTTTGTTTACTTATTTCTGAAACTGACTTTAAGATACTGTGAATGCCTATAATATTATTATTAGTATTATTGGAGTTTTATGGTATCCAAGAGGTAGCTTGCAGTTTTCTGTTACAAAAGGAAAGAGAGACATAGTGATTTATCTTGGGTTTCATAGTCAAAATACTTTTATTTTGTAAATTAACTGAAGGCATATAATATATTTTTTAAATCTTATCAGTTACCCATGCTTATCTTAATACCTAAATTCCCATTTTTAATTTTTACATTGGTAGGAATAGTCATAGAAGTTTGCTTTGGGTGCTCACCAATTTAATTTTTTTTTTTTTTTTTTTAAGTACAGTCATGGAAAAGGAATACATAATTTTATAAATGTTTTGTACCTTTTGTACAGTTTTAAGCTAATCATTTAGTTTTAAAACTTTAGCTATTACACTTTGATGTACATTCAACCTGGTGTAAAGCTCTTAACAAATAATTGGACTGTGAATCTCAGCAATAAACTTCTTATTCTAGCTGCCATGGGGGTTTTTTTTGTTTTTGTTTTTTGGTGTTTTTTTGCCCTGTTGAGTTTGATAATCAGAAAGTAAGAAATTGTGTTTCTCATTGTGTGATTACTTAACAAATCCAGGCTGTAACATCTTAAAGTTTTGTCTGTTACACTCTGCTTGACCATTGTAATTTGGTTCTAAGCCAGAATTGTTTTAAATAAAAATTATGTTTTGGCTTCCTTTGAGCATTTTCTTTGTCCTATAGTGTTTTCAATAGAATTCTTTTCTCATTAATGAAATCTGACTATTTTGATTATACTCTGAAAAATTCTTGTCATCTGAGTTAGTGGTGTGGATTCATTTGTTAAAGTTCTTCCAAAAGATTAGGTAGCAAGCTATATGAAAGAATTGTAGTGCTCTTCTTAAAATGAGGCATAACAGTATTTCAGTTAACATTGTCAGAAAACACTGTATGAATGTAAAATTGTTCAGTGTGACATTTGTTCATATATTTTATCTTCTTCTATGAGGGACTTGGGTAATGAAGTGTATATTTGACTGTCATTTGCCAGTTGGAAAGGCTCCAAAAACAAGGAGGCATTTGTACATGTGCAGATGTTGGCAAGGTTCCCTTTTCTCCTGTTGTCAAAGACCATTTTATTTTCACAAAGATATGTTTGTATCTGTTCTGTGGTATGACATGTGAATAATATACCAGTAATGTATAGAGGAATTTTTTGTTTTACTTTTTGTGGGACAAAACTATATAATCTCTTATATTACCAATTTTTAGTTCTTTCCCCTTTTTTCTTTTAATGTCATGGACATTGTACATAAATACTTCTGGGAAACACTTAAATCTTTTGTAATTATTTGTGTAAATTTTCAAGGTTGAGGGGCGCCTGGGTGGCTCAGTGGGTTAAAGCCTCTGCCTTCGGCTCAGGTCATGATCCAAGGGTCCTGGGATCGAGTCCTGCATTGGGCTCTCCACTCAGCGGCAAGTCTGCTTCTGCCTCTCCCTCTGTGATCTCTCTTTCACTTTCACTATCTTTCTCACTCGCTTTCACTCTCTCTCTCAAATAAAGTCTTCCCAAAAAAACAATGTAGATGGTTCAATTTTTAGCAATAGAAGTAATCTGTATTTATATTATGCACTGTTTTGTTCTGTTTCCCCTACAGTGTTTATATAAATATCATCTTAAGATTTTTCTCCCCATTTTAAGGAAAGATGCCAGGCTTCCTCTATACTTCCTCTAGTCATATTATCTTCCCAGAAGTTGTTTAAAACATTACTTCCCATCCTTTTGCACCACAATGCTCATTTTGCAGGTGGAAAGTATCTTAGATAAAGCCTGATTAGGAGAATAAATAATTTTGAAGTTGAGCTAAAGTTGAACAGAAATACAGTGGCAGTAGAAAGGGAAGCAAGATTGACTTGGGACCAAAGGTACTTGGACTGCAGGTTGCATCAATAGGATATCAGATTGCGCTTTACTAACCTTTGGGTATAGGTTAAGAAACACTTCTGTGGGGGCGCCCAGGTGGCTCAGTCGTTGGGCATCTGCCTTCCACTCAGGTCATGATCCCAGTGTCCTGGGATGGAGCCCCACCTGCTTGTGTTCCCTCTCTCGCTGTGTCTGTCAAATAAATAAATAAATCTTTAAAAAAAACCCACTTCTGTAAATTCCTCTCTAAATTGTACCCCCACCTGCTTGTGGACTAGGTAAGGTCTCTATTAAATGCTCTCTTAGGACTCATACCACTTCCTGGTAACTAACATTTATATTCAAAGTTATTTGCTTAGTATCTGTCTTCTCTTCTAAAATTTTTATTTTAGAGACTCTTTGTTTAGCTCACTCCTAATTGCCAGCACAGTGCAGTGAGTGGTGCCTGGTAAATACTTGCTGGCTGATAGGCCTGCAGTGCTGTTCACTCAAAAGAAAGGATGGTTGACTGTACTTAAACCAAGTCAAAAAGAAATTGTAAATACTTACAGGTTTGGTAATAAGGAAGGTGCCTTATGTTTTGTTGATCAATTTGGTTCTGAAATTTGTGATAAACAGGACTTTCTATTTTAGCTTTATACGGTAAAGTTATGTATTTAGATTTTTAGCTTTATAATATAAAGTTATGTATGAATTAGAAAAGAAATCAAATTTATCTCTCTTCAGCTCCTGAATATAACAGGAAATCCAAGCGCATGCCTAGTAATAATCTCTGCTGAGAGGATCTGAGGGGTAGACTTAGGATATCTTCATCAGAATCTCTTGTAATATTAGGATAATTCTTTTGTAGAGTTTTCCATCTGATGAAGGATGGCCATTTGCAAAATATCTTGGAGCTTGTGGAAGAATGGTGGCTGTAAATTATGTTGGAGAAGAACTGTGGAGTTACTTTAATGCACCATGGGAGAAACGAGTTGACCTCGCATGGCAATTAATGGAAATAGCAGAGCAGCTTACAAACAATGACTTTGAATTTGCACTCTACCTCCTGGACGTCAGCTTTGACAATTTTGCAGTTGGTCCTAGAGATGGGAAGGTAATCATTGTGGATGCTGAAAATGTTTTGGTTGCTGACAAAAGGTTAATTAGACAAAGTAAGTATATAACTTACATTTGATTCTTAAACACATTTTTATGTCAAAGTTTACATTTATATAACACAAACCTTTAATTTCTTTCTTAGATGAAAGCCTTGCCTCTTTTTTTTATTTGACCAGTATCCATAAACAGAACCAGTTTATTATATTATTGTACTCTTATTAATCAGTTTCTCCTAGTAAAATATCCGTTGGATCAAATGGACACAGATATACTGTGTGTGTGTGTGTACATGTCTTTTTCTTAACAGTCTGCTACATTCTGTGGTTTAAGAGTGTAATGCAGAATTAAGTTTTTATGTAGTTACAGACTACCAGAGAAACTGTTATGCTCTCATGGAGGTCTTATTTTTCTGTGGGATCACTTAACACAGTGATGTTCTGTGTTCCATTGTTCTGTGGGGTCCCCATGGTGATTTTCTTTTTCTTTTAACCATTTAGATGATTTCTAACACTGCAAATCCCTAATTTTGATTTGACATTATTACATCTTACCCAAAACTTTACTCTCCATGTATTTGTGAGCTTGTCATGGCCAAAGTGGGCAGATTGTCTGAAGTATTTTGAAAACTAAATGCTACAGGAATTTTAAAGTGTCAGAGACAAAGCCTGTAACTCTCTAACGAATCTACTTAATAAAAGAAACTGAAAGGTGGTTGTTCTATGATAAGGGTCTTATATTTTTAATCCCCTTTGTTCCTGTCATATGAGCATCTTTTGATGAGCCCAGACCAAAAATGTGTGGCACCTAGGAAATGCAGTGAAAGTAACAGCAATTTATTAGGTTGACACTTAGGTTTTGCATGATCTTATATTGATCCTTGATTTTTCCCAGTACCTTCTGATTCCATACTCCCCAAACTACTTTCTTATTATTTCTCGACTCACCACGTAGATCCTTCCACAGGGAAGAGAACCTGTCCTTTTCTTTTTAAAGTGTACAGGTCAGTGGTTTTTAGTATACTCACAGTTATGCAATTTGCCTAAACTTTTAAAATTTTCATTTCAGTGTTTGTAAAAAGAATTTCTTACAGTTTTTTATGTAGACATTCTTGGAATACATGTCACAGTTTTTTATACCAACTAATTCCTAATCTTGGATGACTACAACCACACAAGTATATTCATACAGTGAGCGTTGCCCCAGTAATTCCTTAGCTGTGACCAGTTCTTTTCAAATGTCTCATGGTAGGGTTGTTTAAATATCTACTTTTCAAAATGCCATATTTATTGACACTCTTTGCTGTAAAGTATTCACTCTTTGCTGAACTCTTTCTAGTAAATGATCTTCATTTTCTCCTTCACAGGGAAACTGAGGTTTTGCTGTGACAACTCCCTGAGTGTCCTCTTTATTACCTAAACTAGTAAAAACAATACACATTTATTCCTCTATTTCAGACAGAGTAGATCCTTCTCTGAGAATTTGTTGCATTTATCTTCAACTTCCCATTCCCTTCTTAAAATCCAGTTTAATCCAGTTTCTCTTCCCTCCCCATAAACAAATATGTCTAAGACTTTTTCTTTTTTCCCATGCTTTTCAGTTGTTAAAAGTATTGCTTACTCCGCCTTTTTCTACTCCCTCAGCCTCCATTCATTCCTCCACCCATTAGAACCTGACAGATTTCTGCATTACCATTAGCAACCACCCAATTGCAAAACTTATGAAGTGACTGATTAGTAACAACTTCCTGAAATTCTTAAGTCCTTTGATTTCCTTCTATTCACATAGTTTCTTTCTTAAAACATAAATCTGATCTTACCACTTCCTTGCTTAAAGTTTTTGATGAATTCCCATTGTTCTTTAAGTAAAACTCAAACTCGTGTTTATGTACTATCAATACCACAAAAACAAGCAATCTTACTAAAAATGAGCAGAGAACTGAAGAAACATTTATCCAAAGAAGACATACAGCTGGCCAACAGGCACATGAAAAGATGCTTAACGTCACTAATCATCAGGGAAATGCAGATCAAAACCAGAGTGAGAGAATACTTTACACTAGTCAGAATGGCTGGTATCAAAAAGCTAAGTAACAAACGTTGCCAAAGATGTGGAGAAAAGGGAACCATCATGCACTATTGGTGGAAATGTAAATTGGTGCAGCCACTGGGGAAAATAGTGTGGAGGTTCCTCAAAAAATTAAAAATAGAAATACCACATGATCCACTAATTCCACTACAGGGTATTTATTCAAAGAAAACAAAAACATTAATTTGAAAAGATATATGCACCATGTTTGCTCTAGCGTTATTTACAATAGCCAAGACATGGAAGCAACTCAAGGTGAAAGCACAAAAGAGGAAGTGATGTGTATATATTTATGTTCATATACACAGTGGAAGTTTAGTCATAAAAAAGGATGAGATCTTGCCATTTGCAACAACATGGATGGACCTGGAAGGCATTATGCCAAATGAAGTAAGTCAGGAAGAGAAAGGTAAATACCATGATTTCACTTATGTGGAACATACTTAAAAAAAAAAAAAAAAAGAAGAAGAAGAAGAAAAGAAAAAACAAAGTCTCTTAAATACAGAGAACAAACTGATGGTTGCCAGAGGGGAGATGGGCAAAATAGATAAAGATAGATGCAAGATAGATACAAGATTAAGAGATACAAACTTACAGTTATTAAATAAATCGGAAAGATGAAAAGTATAGCATGAGGAGTATAGTCAAGAATGTATGGTGACAGTTGGTGACCACATATCGTGGTGAGCATTGAATAATGTATAGAATTGTCAATCAGTATGTTGTGTATATGAAACTAATATAATGTATGTTAATTATACTTCAGTTTAAAAGCAAGAGCTTATAAGGTGAACCAATTTTTTTAAAATTTTTTAACAATTGAATGTGAATTTCAAGCAGAAGTAGAGTAAGGTTCTTTATGTACAAAAGAAACATTAAAGAGAAAGAAAAGAAAAGAAGGAAGGAAAGAGGAGAGGAGGAAGGAAGACCTTCTTAATCAGGGCCTAAGGAAAGGAAAGGAAAAAAGAAAGGAAGAAAGAAAGGAATGAAGGAAGGAAAAGAAAGAGAAAAAGAAAGAAAGCGTTCTTAATCAGGGCCTAAAATGCTTGAATTTTAATATCCCTCTGTCTACTTCCCTTGATACTTCAGCTACAATGGTCTTTTGGTTTCTTAAATGAACTTTTTTGCTTCTGGGCTTTTCCATATGCTCTACCTAAAATGCCTCATCTGTCTTCCATATTCATCTAGGTACCTGTCCTTTGAACCTTGGCTTAAAAGTTACACTTGACCACTGTATCTGATGTGAGGGAAAGTTGTTTATTTCAGAAACCTTTCTACTGTTAAAAATGTGTTTCCTTTGTAGCATTTTCCACTACTTATGATAATGTTTATTTATTTAATATCTATTTCACATAATTGATAGTAAGCCAGTGAGGGCAGGAATCATCTTATTAATTATTTTGTTTACCTAGTATATACCCTTTCCTGTCATAGAGTAGGCATTCAAATAATTATTTGCTGAATGAATGAGCTTTTTTCACTAGCCTCTCCTCTGCCAGCCTCTTAAGTTCCAAGGTTCCATCCTGTCTTCATTTCTTTCCTTTGCTTTCAACATGCTTTCCAATGTAATTCAGCTCCTCTTGGCTCCATCAAGCACTTGTATATTGATGTGTTCTAAATATGTGTACTGTAGCTGTGACTTCAAAGCCCTGTTTCAAGTCTGTTTCTAGTTGCATGTGATATGCCCCCCTGAATGCCTGGTAATTATATTTACTCTCTATATAAAATGTTAACAATATTATGTAAATAATATCTACCTTGTCATCTAATTAGAACCTTAAACTTTCCTCAAAATTAAACTCCTATGTTTCTGCAATTTGGCTTTTTTTTTTTTTCTGGACCATTAGTTACTATCATCATCTTAGTCATTCCAGTCTTCAGTGCCAGTTCTCTTTCTATAAAAGAAATCGTGTTCATGACCACATAATTTCCAAGCTATTTCTGTAGCCTCATTTGTACCTTCTCCCCCAGGTAGCTGTCTCACACTTCAGCCTCCATGATCTTATTGTCCCCTGAATCAGCTGGAACAAGCCCTTAAATCCATGCCTTTGCACATATTTATACTGGGCCTAGCATACTGTTTTCCCACATTTCTTTTCACACTTGCTTATTATTTAAGACCTAAAGCATATGTTCTCTATGCAGCTTTCTATAGCCCCAGGCAAAAGTACTGCTTCCTCTGTACTCTTGTACCATTGAGTCTTCTGTATGGCACTTTCTCTGTGATGGAAAGTTTCCATCTAGGCTCAACCCTTGAGTAGTTAGAGACCTTGTCTGATCTTTAGGCCTGGCCTTGGTGAACTCCCACTAAATGTTTATATATAAATTAATAAATTTCAGTGTTTAAAATTATACAATTTTAGGAACAAATACTACTGTGTTAATTAGTAAATTTTATATTTTGGGAAGGAATGAGAGCTCTTTTAAAATGTATTTTTCTCTTTCTGCTTTTCCCCCTTTTACAGATAAACCTGAAAATTGGGATGTATGGTATGAAAGCAAATTTGATGACTGTGATAAGGAGGCTTGCTTATCATTTTCAAAAGAAATTCTTTGTGCTCGTGCAACTGTGGACCACAATTACTATGCCGTTTGTCAGAACCTCTTATCCAGACATGCCACCTGGCGTGGCACTTCTGGAGGACTTCTTCATGACCCACCAAGTGAAATTGCCAAAGATGGCCGACTAGAGGCCTTGCTGGATGAGTGTGCCAACCCAAAGAAGCGCTATGGAAGATTCCAGGCTGCGAAAGAACTGCGTGAATACCTAGCACAATTAAGTAACAATGTGAGGTAGTCTATGGTGAATTTTTCTTTTCTCCGTTTAAATAGCACTGGCTAAAACTAAGCCACCAAAAACTATCTGGAAAAATGAAATTTGGAAGTAATACATTCAGAAGATGATAAACTTGCACTGATAGATCTTATGTTAACATCAAAATAAGACATTACTTCAAAAATCTCGTGACGCTTCTGCAAATAAGTTTGTTCTTAGACTTTGGAGACTTGAGCTATCGTTGACTGCTTTGCTCGCCTGAATGCCTGAGTGGATTGATGAATATTGTGAAGCTATTGGAAATGAGTCTGATAGTTGCATTGGCTTGTGTATCAAAGGGTACTTGGTATTTGACTTAATTTGCATTACTATCATGATTTTGTGAATCTCTTGCATTTACTTTGAATGTTAAGTTAGATTGGCCTGTTTTATAGGCCACTTTTTCCTTCTGATGTAGAGGTGTTTTTTTTTCCCCCCCTCATTTTTATGGTTTTTTTTTTTTATTAAGTTTTACACATTCAGGTTATTCTATGTGTTTATTTAAAGTTCAACTAGTTTTTGTTCAGTGCTATGCGGTACACATTTACTATTAGGGCAAGATTCCCAGGTTTACTGTATTTTCAGAGAGCTGAATATTTTATTATGTAAATACTTTTCTTCCCACTTTCTGTGGTTTCACCATTGCATGAAATCATTCAAGGTTATTTAACAGTTACGTCCCTCTATGCCTATAATTATAAGTGTACACTAAACACAAAGTTTGGCATATGTTGCAAAATGTCATCTTGTCCTTTTAAAGGCTTTAAGAAGAGTGTACAAGCAATCTACACCTTTTGTTAATGTTGATTGAAGAAAAAAAAAATACACAGTATTTTTAAATGCTAACTAGTCCAAGATAGTAATGCATATGCCAAAGAAATGTTAGATCTGGTGTCATGGTTAGATTTTAAAGTTCTTATTATCACACTTCCAGTACTATAACTGTCATTATTAAATTCAGATCTAACTGGTTATTCTTTTATGTTGCAAAGGTAAGCTGCTTCCAGGCATATGTGACTTAAAGATATCCTACCTTATATTCATTGGTAGTTTTGCAGAAATTAACATGGTATAGTCATCATGAGTTTAATTGGGCATCTTAACTTTCTATTTATCGATGGACTAGTAACTTTTATCAAAAAGCATAGTTTAGCCAGTCTGCCCAACTTGGTATTCATTACCCCAAATTTAAGTATGTGGATAAAAATTAACAAATGTGTGGAATTTGTGGGCTATTTTTAAAAGTTAGAATATATAAATTGACTATCACTAACATAGGTGATACTTTTTTTTTTTTTGTCGCTTTAGCTTACAGCAAAGTTTGGTGTAGTGCGCAGTTATTTCATTCTAGATGGACCTTATTCTAAATCAGAAATTGATTAAAATATGCACACCAAAGCCAGGTTTTTCTTTTCCTTTTCATTCATTCAGCAACTATTTATTGAGCATCAGCTCTGTGCCAGGCACATTACTAGCTGCTACACACTGTCTAAAGGTGACATGGTTAAGTAACTTTACAATGATTATCAAATACTTTAATGTAGGTATTTCTTAAGTTGAGATAGCATTGAGTTAGGATGGTGCATTCATGTTATTTTACGCTTGTAATAGAAATTCTACTTGTACCATTTATAACTGGGTTGCTACAAAAAAGCATGATGAAATCAATAATGTTAACCCCAGTATAAAAAGCTGGGAGAAGGGTAAGTTCTCTCCATTATAAAATAGATTGCATTATGTTAATTTTTATACATCCATGTCTTACAGATATCAACTAGCCCTCAAAGAAACATTTAAGTGCTAGAAGTTTCACTAAGCTGACTTTTTACAACTTCAGAAAACTTTTGAGGGGAGCAGGTAAAATTATTTGTCAAACATTCACTGCTTAGAACTTCAAATAAAATACACATTTTCAAAACAGAGCACCTTTTATATTTGATAAGTGTTCATTACAAACTTTAGAATGCCAGTCACAGAGGGTTGTCTTTATGTGGGTTAGCAAACATTTATCTTACTTTGGAAAAGCAATTGTGATTGTAGAACAGGAAGTGAGAAAACACTGCCAGCAGTGACTGCTACTGGAGGTAGTTGTTAAAACTACCATTTCCCCCATGAGATTATGTGGAATTTCTTTTATCTTTGGAAAAAGTTGAGAAGATAGTAAAAGAATTAGGAATTTTAAATTACAGGGAAAAATATGTATGTGAAAAGCAATAAATATTTTGTTCACTTTGCTATCAAGATGTTCACTATCAGATATTTATTATACAGCAGCAATTTATATTTTTAATCATTGCCCATTAATAGACACAGTAAAATATTTTTGAATCAGACATTTGGGGTTTGTATGTGCATTAAAATTGTCTTTTGTACTGTAAGTTACTGTTTAATTTGAATATTTTATCAGAACTGTCTCCCTGTGCCTTTATAATATAAAGTTGTTTCTACAACTTTTAATGATCTTAATAAAGAATACTTTAAGAATCACACTTTTCAGACTCTCTTAACTTCAGATATCTAAAATTTTTTTTAATGGAAAGTGAGGTTGTGTCAGTAAGTTATTTTTTTTTCCTCTTGCATGTATTTTGATACCGTTTTCAGAAACTATCTGGTTGGTTGTATGCTGGACTTAAAGTTTGTGTGTTTTCTTTTGTTTTTCTGTAGTAAACTTTTTTCTATAGTAGATAACTTACTGCTGATATGGAAGTTTAAAAAAAATTACGGAATTTTTCAAATGTATACAAAAGAATAATATGGTAAATAATAGTTAACTATGATTTTACTAACTTCAAAAGTTAGCAACATGTGGCCAAACTTATTTCATCTATGTCCCAATCTCCTTGACCCCAGGTTATATTGAGCAAATTTGAGAGATGTTATTTGGTTCAGAGATACATATTTCTCTTCCAGCAAAATCACAGTACCGTATCATGTCTAAAAATTAACAGTAATCCTCAGTATCACCAAAGCAGAAAAGCTCTCAGATACCACTGTCTTTTTTAAAAGCTCAATATCCAGCTGTAGGCATTCTAAACTGCTAGCTATTATATACATGGGGTTAATTTGATGATCAATAAGGATAATAACTAAAATGGATCAAAATATTGTAAAAATGTAAATTATGTGTTCAAAATGTTAATAGCAAACAGACAAACCAATTTCATCACCTTTGGAAAGATATGAAGGAATTATTCTGGAAACTGGTAACTTGGAGACAAGCATTCATCTTGCCTTATTACCCCAGGGTAATCAAATAATTGAGTGGAAGAATTTATAAAATATGTAGAATTATTCAGTTAGGAAATGCAGAAGGAGTGTTAGAATATCACCATTTCATAAATACTAATGAAACGAAAGCTGGGCAGTAGTCATCAATTGCTACTAAAGCCAATAATTGAAAAGCTGATGAGGAACTTTGGATAGATCAAGGTGATGAGACCTGAACTCACTGGTTAATTGTAATGATAAACCTTATACTATGACTCAAAAGTATACAGCACCACAAGAAAAGGAAAAAAAAAATCTGATCAAGCCCCTAAATCTGTTAATGGAAATACTTGACACAAGGAAATGTGTTAAAAGATATCATTGGTATGCAAGCAACAAAATCTGGAACGTGGGCAATTCTACAGGATAAATGACTTTTTTTTTTTTTTTAACAAATTGCAAAGAAAAGGAGGGAGGCCTTTCACATTAAAAGAATCTTAAGTTTTAACACAGAGTTGTGTTAACACATGATTGACTTAAACATTCTTTCTACTATATCATATTGCAGCTCTTCAGAACCAGAAGCATATAGTTGGAGGAAAAAATACTTTCCTAAGAAAGTCGACCTTGTAAGGTGTCAATAAAAATTAAGTTCAACAGTTACTCAGGCATGGCGTTTTGTTAATTTTAGCTTTCCATTTCTATGTATATCTCACACGATTAGGTAATTAAATATTGAAAGAGGTCTCTTACAGGCTATTTAGCTGAAGACAGGACTAGCGAAAGCAATGGTCTTTCAGTATTTCATTTTAATTCTGAAACAGTCAATGGCCCTCCAGTGTCATTAAGTGGCCTCCCTAATTTCTTTTCTTTTTGTATTTAAAGACATTGTTACTGATTTTAGTTTCAAGCAATATGTCTTCATCCATTTTTTTAGCTACCTAAATTACTTCATTATACTTGCATTATCCTAAGGGCTTATGGAGGTTATCTTTCCATTTTTTGAATAATTAGTAATACTTTGTTGGTGGGGAGGGAGTGGTGAGGAAAACACACCCAACCCAAATTATATATTTTCTGAAATGTGCCTTAAAGGGTATGTTTTTAGCTGCCATCAGCAACTCTAAAAATCAACCTTTTAGAGTTTATTTTAAATCAATGCCTGTATTTTTATAGTAATACCATGGGTTGAGTTTCTTGGTTTTCTCATGTTTACTGGGACACTATGTATATAAAAGAAATTTTGTGGTCCTTTTATGTAATGATTTTTAGACAATTTATTTTCAAATGTTTAGGAAAGAGGGTAAGTTAATTGAGTTACAGACATTTTATTTTTAATGGAACTAGTTAATGATAATTGGTGCACTCTTAGATGCATGCGGAGCCTGCTTGAGATTCCCTCTCCCCACCTGTCTCCTTCTCTCTCTTTCTCCCTCTCTCGGGGCTGGGTGATTCAGTCAGTTAAGTAAGAGTCTGCCTTCTGCTCAAGTCATGATCCCAGAGTCCTGGGGTTAAGCCCTGTATGAGGCTCCCTTCTCAGCTGGAATTCTGCTGCTCCTTTTGACCACACCCTCACCCCACATCCTGCTCATGCTCTCTTATTTAAAAAAAAAAAAAAAAAAAAAAGGACGCTTGGGTGGCTCAGTCGGTTGGGTATCTGCCTTCAGCTCAGGTCATGATACCAGCGTCCCGGGATAGAGTCCCACGTCAGGCTCCCTACTCAGTGGGGAGCCTTCTACTCCCTCTGCTTGTGCTCTGACAAATGAATAAGTATAATCTTTAAAAAAAAAAAAAAAAGCCACTTGCTGTTGTTAAAACCATAAATAGGAATCTCTAACACTCATTAACACTTGTCTCTCATGGAGAAATAATGATACTCTTAAGTCATTTGAGAAAAGGCAATTAAAAATTGAGGAAAAGATAGACATCTTTAAACCATTAAAAATGTACACTTAGATGTGTCTGAGAGGGAGAGTCTGGATCTCTCTTATCAGTTACCCGTTTTTACCCTAGACAAATTATTTAACATCTATGAGATTGTTCACATTAAAGAAACTCAGAATTTCTCCTTTGACTCCATTACAAGTTTACTGGACAGATGGGGTTATGTACCGGAAAACACTTTTATAGCTGCAAAGTACTGTACAAGTATATTGTGATAAACATTGATGTTTATCCCAGAGAGAGAAGGAACTTCATTCAAGAATTAAGTAACCGGCTTCTTGCTAGTTGTCAGTCCATGACCACCATGACTTTTACCTCTTTATAACTAAGATTAAA